TTATAGTCCAGTAGCTCAGAGCGGTGGTTCAGGCTTCAGAATGTAGGTTTCAGGATTTCACGTTTTGGCTGTTCGGGTCGAGAGTCTACTTGAAGGCTCATGGGACTTAGTAAGTAAGGTTATAAGTAGGTTATAATTAGGATAACACCACTTAGGGGACTTATAACCCCAGTTATAACCTACTTACTAAGTCCCATGATCCTCTAAGTAGGACAGCCCGAACATCTCATCCGAATGCCTGCAGATCATCATCAAGCTTCCACAGGACAAGTTTCAGGAGCCCCTGGGCAGCAGAAAGAGGGTGGAGGTTGACACTTCCTCAATGAAGTAGGAGGCACTAGTGGGAATGTTTGGGGTTTGGGGCCTACCGGGTTGAGGAGAGTGGAGCAATTCCGTGACAGAAATCAGGCAAACGGGCACACAATCTGATGGTCTCTTTTTGGTTGCGCACCCTAAAATGGCCCTAAAACCTGTACGCCTTCGAATTACTTGCGAAACCTTTGACCCGAGACCTCATGCCACTACAGTCTCAAATTATAAGTTCTGGCCGGAAGATAAGGGCTATGTATATCTAAATATTATAAGAGGAACCCTAAACCCTTCGGCCCTTCTAGTGAGGACTTGGGAAGGCAGAACTAACCCTAAACCCTAAACCCTAAACCTAGCTGAGGTGGGAGAAGACGAACTTCGAGCCTGAGGTCGGTCTTTGAGAGAGTTGACGCTTGGAGGATTCTGGGTTACTATAGAAAAAATAGGGTTCCCTTTAAAGGGATCCTTAAAGGGGTCTACAAGGGATCTCAAGTAGGGTTCTATACTAGGGGCCTGAATAATTACGAATACTATTTCTTTTTTGGATGGGGGCTTCTTATTATAGCTATTGTCTATAGTATAACATACCCCCAAACCCTATTCTAATTATTAAGGCCCCTCTTATTATGTGCTTGGGTGTTTTTGCTTGGGGCCCATAGATTCAGGGTGCAAAGCTGTAGGGGTTTGGTGGAGGGACTGTTGACTGGTTCTAGGACGCTGAGGGGTTACTTAGAGGATCATGGGACTTAGTAAGTAGGTTCCTTAAAGGGCTCCTTAAAGGGATCTATAGGGTTCCTTAAAGGGAAGTATAGGGTTTAGGGTTTCGGGTCTACTTAGAGGATCATGGGACTTAGTAAGTAGGTTATAACTGGGGTTATAAGTTCCCTAAGTGGGGTTATCCTAATTATAACCTACTTATAACCTTACTTACTAAGTCCCATGAGCCTTCAAGTAGGGTTTAGGGCCAGAGGAGGCCTTGGAAAATTACGCGCATAAGATTGGGAAGTAGGACTTGGGGGTTCGGGAAGACAGAGGTTTATAAACCTGACCTTTTCCTGAAAAGTAGCATAGGCTACTCTGATAGTTAACCCCTTCCGTTTGGGGTTTGGAGGGCAAGGGCTGCAAAGTTTTAGGGTTATTCTGTGCCTTACCTAAATCTCTAAGCTTTGAGCTTAGATGCTTTCCTCTGCCACGTAGTCATCCGCAAAGCACAAGTACAGTCGGATGGCGCGCGGCTCAAGGCCTGAAAACTGAAAACAGTTGGGTGTTCTGCGGCTCAAGCTGTCGGGGTTCAGAGTTCAGATTCTTTGGGCTTCGCCGCTTCGCCCTAAACCATAGACCCGCACACCTCCAAACCCTAAACCCCTAAACCGCAAGCCCTAAACACGCAGTTGGAAAATGAACCAACAACAACAGCAACAACAACAACTTCAATAGCAACAGCAACAGCAACAAGAACAATAACAACCACCACAACACGCTGTAATTCTGAAGAGCGTTCCACACCTGCAGGCGCAGTTCCTGGAGGCCCTTCGAGCCATCCCTGGCGTGAGTGAGGTGGGGCCTTTGGCACTTTCTGGGTGCGGAGTTATATAGTACCGGGGCCTAAAATGGTGACCAATACTGTTGTGGTGGGCTCCTTACTATATCTTTAATAGAGTGGGTCCGACAACCTTGTTCTAATGACTAAAATAGGAACCAATACTATTGTGGCGGTTCCTTGCTATAACTATAATAGTAAAGCCCCTATTTTAATGTTTTGGGCCTAGCTGTAGCGCGTAATATAGGGGCCTCAATAATTACCTGTACTATGTTGGGGGTTCCGTATTGTAGATATAGTATAATGGGCCCCAAAACCCTATTCTAATTACTAAGGTCCCTATATTATAGAACCCTACTGTAGATCCCTTGTAGAGCCCATTAAAGGAACCCTAGCCCCATTCTAATCATTAAGGCCCCTAAATCAGGGGTTCGAGTTCCAGGCTTCAAGGGTGCAGACTCTAGGCTTTCGATTCCTCATAGGGATCCTTAGGGGTGTAGGGGGGAGGGGTGTAGGGGACTATATTTCCTTAAAGAGGCCTTATTAGTCCTTATTATGGGCCTTAAGGCCCCCTACCCCCCCTCCCCCTACACCCCTAAGGATCCCTATGAGTCCCGATGAGTTAATTTCGGTTTCAGGGAGTTCGTCTCGCAGTTGTAGTGCTCCGTATGGGGAGTCCGACTGGTGTGGAAAGTTCGAAGCTCAAACTGTCATGTTTCAAGAGACAAAGCCCAAGCTCAATTCGATTTAGGATTTTGGATTCAGGCTTAAGGGAACGAGGAATTTTGGTCATCGTTTGAGTTCGAGACCTAAAGAATTGAGGAAGTAGGATTCAGAGTCCGGTCCTTCAGCCTTACGTGCCGAGGTCGACACGCAGACCTACACGCTGGAAGCCGTGAACCTGATGGGCAAGGCCATGGTTAAGAGTAGAGTGTGTCGGGGCTGTCTCTCTTACCCGGCCCCTCGAGTTCGGGCCTGAATGAAGTCAAATAGTTTTGGTAGTTCACTATGTTAGCTTCGCGGTCTTCACTTGTTGCTGCGCTTTGGGGCGATGGTTCTGGCATGGACCTGCAGCGTTTCGACTTGCAGTCAGGTGCCCATCAGTGTTCCGAAGGCGGCAAACGGCTGCATGGCTGAGGAAATCAAGCGGCTGTCTTTGAAGAAGTAGGCACTTCAAGCTTTCATCATAAGACCGACCATGAGGCCGTGACAGAAGTCTTCAAAGCATGCATCTAGCCTTCAAGCTATGTCAGCGCGCACGTGCCGGCCAGATATGCTACAACCTAAACCTAAACTCCACTCCCTAAACACCTAAAAATCCCTAACACAAGCCCAGCATCTCAGCCCTTTGGTGCACATATCTTCTCTCACGTAGCGGCGTGCTCCGCTGGGAGCGATCCCGGCAGTCAGGAGCGAGGCAGAGGAGCAAAAAAGGGCGTGACCCGCACACACACACACACACACACACACACACACAAACACACACTCATCTACTTGGATGTCCATGGGCAGTAAAAATGGGGTTATAAGTAACGCATGGTAGGGGACTTATAACCCTAGTTATAGCTACCCATGAACCTCAAAGTACCCACCTACGAGGGTAGTTTGCTGACCTGTGCCGCTAGTCCAGGCTTAAAACACCCCTGCACGTGCTTCCAATGTTCCAGCCTCTGCTGTAAACCCAAAACCCCGTACCGTGAAGCAACCGAAGAGGTGCGATGTCCCAGTAAAAAGGGCCACCTCCAATTTGCACAATCCTTATGGTTCGGCTCGTGTCAGTGTCGGAAATGTAGGGTTCGGATCACTGTCGCCTTTTCCACAGAAATCACTTTCCACCCAGTCGCTAAACTGCGCAGGCAGTCGTGCCGCCTGATTATATGAGGAGGCAGCACGCTTAGGGTTTACAGTAAGAGATCCTATACCTCTCAAATAGGCAGTAGATGTCAACTTAGTAAATATCTTGAATTATGATGCGCAGTCCTTAATGGCACATGGCATATGGGGCTTTCGGGAAAGCTATATGTTTACAGCACGGGTTCAACATCAGACTTGATATGGACAATCGCTTGCACACCGGCCTGAAGCCGTGCATATGCACGTGCTCAGCGAGCGCACTAAGAAGTGGGCATGCTGCAGCAAGCTGAACTTCATCTTGGATGTGCCCACGGCTGCGCGGCATGAAGGTCTCAAGCCTTAGATTTCATGTTCTACTTAAGCCCGGAAGCAGCATGAGTAGTTCATCAAGGCACGCACACACCTGGTACCCAGGCATCGAGGATCCGAAACTACATCAAAACTCGTCAGGAGCTCTTAACATTTCAGACGTGCAGACCCTGACCCTGCCAGCCCTATACTCACCGCTAACCCTGCAGCACTACGCCTCAACCTTGTAAAACCCTGTAACTTACAATAAAATCTGACAGTTGCCAAACGGAACAGTGCCCTTTGGCGATGTTTCTTTGAGTTTCCGGATCGCTTGTCGCAGGACTTGGGCATCACCTCGGGTCTAGGTCGCCCAATATTCAATACTCGCCTTATGCATTCTTCGCATGTTGGTTTTCTTCTTTACTTGAAGGCTCATGGGACTTAGTAAGTAAGGTTATAAGTAGGTTATAATTAGGATAACCCCACTTAGGGGACTTATAACCCCAGTTATAACCTACTTATATACTAAGTCCCATGATCCTCTAAGTAGGCTGCATACCAGGTCCCCGGCCTTCTGGCGCCTCCACAGTCCACTGCTGTTGAGGGATTGCAAGGTTCAAGGTCTATGTACACCTACACACGACGTCTTCCAAACTGGCTCGACTGAGTCTTCGGCTAGGTTGCTTGCGGCATTGGGGTTTAGGGCCCTAGTGGGGTATTTCAGCATTTGGGGTTCCAAGGTTTTGGATTTTTGGGGTTTCGTGGGCTTTGCAGAAGGTTTCCACATGTGTTGCCTGCAGGCTTTCTTCCAAGCCAGAAGTCCCTTGGACCCTAAACTTACGCTTGGATAGTGGGGAATGGAAGAATGGTAGTAATAGTAGTTATAGTTATACCCCATTCCTCCATTCCCTACTAACCGAAGGTAAGTAAAGCCCACCGTCGCGCAACAGCCCAACCCGCCACCGCCCAAGAGACCGTGGAGGAGCTGCCGCCGATTGCTTGAGAGATGGGCAAGTCTCGCTGGCATGGCTTTGCCGTCGGTTTTGGGCTTTCGGGCCCTCTGCGTCCACTGCTTGGGATGTCCACATCTGTTTCGTACCATTAGAGGAGCTTAGGAGCATATACTATAGCGGCCTAAGTAATTGTCGATAACGTTCGGGGGGGTGGGTCCTTATTATAATTGTAGTATAATGTGCCCGCGAAACCCTTTTCTATCTCTCTGCATATATACATACATACATACATATATACATACAGGAGTTGACTATGCACACTGTGTATGCTTACACGGAAATATACACTAAAGCCGTCATATCCTATCCATCTTAAGTGAGATGCGTGTCTAGTCTAGTCCCAAGACCACAGAAGAGCTATCATGGAAGGTCAAAGAAGGCGGTGCTCCATGACGCAGGCAAGTGTTTTCTGACTGATTAAAACTCATTGTTTCGGGCTTCAGGTGCTGGAGGCTTTATTCCAAAGCTTAGGGAAGCAGGCCTTCAAGACGATTCATAAGATCAGGGGTATAGCTACAAGCAAGATCGGTTGTACCAAAACCACAATAATTAGACTATGAGTGAGTGTGACCTCAAGAGCGCACGCCATGTGATGGCGGGTGCTGGTTGGGTATCACACGAATGATTCCTCGAAGTCCATCGGATCATTCATGATGTAATTGCACCTCCTCGAAGGATCCAGACCATTTCACTTCACCACCCCTAAACCCGAAACCCTAAACCCTAAACCCTAAGCTTTTCGGCGGAATGCATTCCACGAGATGCTAAGTGCTCCGGAAAAGACCAGCCATCACCCACTCTCAAGCTCAAGTCTTCTCTGCTGGAAGGCCTGTGTGCTTCGTTCAACTACCATGCTTTGTTCCCCAACACCGACGACCCGAAAGTGCTCAAACCTTCGTCCGCAAACCTCATAGCACCTCGTAACCTGTGAGCCCCAACCCCTACACGGACCCGCCCCTGCGCTCCCCAAATGAAGACCTTGCAGTCCCAAACACACTGCCATGGAGGCGGCAAGAAGATCTTGCACCCCGCAGAAGCGGATAGGAAGAAGGCGCAGTCGAGGGACGTTGGGGTTTGGGTCCAGTTGCATGGATTTCAATCAACGGCTGCGGGAATGTATCTAATTTGTGTCGTGGGGTTGTTGCTTCTGCTGGTTTCCGAGCTTTCTGCAACTTCAAAGTTATGCAACAACTCCACAGCGAACAACAATGTGTAACAGAATCGGAGCAGGAAGAACAAGACGGCAACGTAGCTAAAGTGTGAGTTTCCGGAACGTCATTTCTCGAAGCCGATGCAGCTCACGCATTGCTTACCTTTGGTTAGTAGGGAATGGATGAATCGGGTACAATTTTAACTACATTTACTACCATTCTTCCATTCCCTACTAACCAAAGGTAAGATTGAGGGGATGGGCGTCGAAGTCCCAGTGAACTCAGAGGCCCGAACGCCCAAGAAGCACAGTCATGCTTAAGTTCTGAAGCCAATCGGTCCATGCAATTCGCAGCCCATGGAAGCTGTGCACTGTACTCCCCAACTACAGGATGGTCCAGGATCCTTGGAAGCTCGCCGTCCTCATACCCTAAGAGCAACGTCTGGGGTATACCGACCTCATGGAGCCTGCGGCAAACTTCCAGAAAGGATCTTGTAGCAACGAACAAAGCTTGCTGGACCTTATCAGGGTAATGTAGAAGCCTGAATAATTGCCAGTACTTTTCCCAGGGTTCCTTATTATAACTATACGATAAGGTACTCCCAATTCTCTATTCGATTTATTAAGCCCCTACAGTATGAGCACCCTTGACACGATGTGACATACCTTCCATCACCCTGCAAGACTTACTCCACCTTGGGCAGCACCATGCTGCACCTCCACATCCTCAGTTCCAAAAGACGATTTCTCCAAAATCAGCGCGAAAGAACTCCAGGTTTAGGGTTTAGGGTTCCGCCCTTAGACCTAAAACGCGCAACACACCTATGGTCTTATGGCTGCATGAAGAACACCCCCTGAGCTAAACCGTGAACCTTACTCCCGACAAGGCCCCGTAGAGCCTAACTCTCAACACCTCAGCCCAAACCCAAACCTTTAAAGACCCACCTTTCCAGGCCAAGCAGCGACTGCGCGAGAACCGCGCGAAGAATCGCAAGAAGCTGCTGGGCCAGAGAACAGAAGCCCAGGGCGGTTTGTGCTTGAGGAACTGCAAGAGGTTCTACTATAGGGGCCTAAATAATTGCCAAGACTGTTTTGGGGGTTCCTTGTTTTTTTTTGTATGCGATACCCCAGAAACTTATGCTAATTATTAAGGCCCCTATAGTATACAGAATTCTTCGACGGGCTTCAAGTGTTTGAGGATATGGGTCGGGGGGCGTTAAGCCTAGGCTACAGATGTAGGAGAGCGCTCGTAGGCAGCTGTTTTGTACTGGTTTAGGGTTTATCGGGTTTAAGTATTTAATTTGCAGGCAACTGTGGATACGACTGTTCAGTGTAGGGCCCTAGCAACTTGCAGCTAAGTCTCATGGGTATTGTTGTACTGCTTGGACTGCGAGTCTGTCAGTTGGTACTCGCGCAGTCCTTGCAGCTACACTTCCAAACCACCCGGACCCCAAACCGCTGTCCAAAAGCCCCAAACTCTGAACTTGAAGCTTAGAAGCCTAAGCCCTAAACCTTTAAGCTTAGAGCCCTAAGCCCACGACCGCTGCATCAACTCGATCTGCCTCTGTCGAGGCGGTTTGAAGCAAAGATGCTTGAGAAAGACACCTCCCTGGTTCAGGCGGAGATCACGGAGTTCAAGGACGCAACCCAGAAGTTTCGGGTTTAGAAGGCTTGGGGTTGCGGGCTTACCAAAGACAGTACCAGGCCTGTTTTAAGTGCGAAGTGCAAAAGGCTTCAATCCTGCATTGTGGATGCCAGGCTAGGTTCTTCTTAGAGCCCCTGACTCCGCAACTAAGTAGGCCCCCCATGCCTCATCTGCACATCGGCCGCAGGAGCTGGAGAAGAAAGGAAAGCTGACGAAGTGGTGTCTTCTCAGCATCTGGTGCCTACACACCTTGGCTTGAAGCCGTAAGCCCTAAACCCTAAACCCTAAACCTTGACTTGAAGCCGTAAGCCGAAAAGCTCCAGATCCTGAAACCTGAGGCCTTGAACCCCTATTCCTTCAGCCCCAAGCCTGGGCTCGACCTTCGACAAGAGACGCTACCTCGTGATGATGATGATGATGATGATGATGATTGGTGGGGGTGATGATGATGGTGATGGTGGCTTAAACTTAAACCCTAAACCCTTAAACTTGGAACCCCACTCCATGAAGAGCTTCAATCTCGAGGCACTTCAAAGTAGGAACGGGCCTATGCGATGTTCGCGTTGCCATTGAGGGTTTATAAGGGTTTATGCGGGTTTATGGGGGTTTAGCGTGCGCTCAGTTGACCAGGTCTGCCGTAAAAGCGCAGGTCGCTATATGTCAAAAATGCGCAAGGCAACACAGACCTGCACGCGCTGCCGTTGGCTGCCGTTAGCAGTCACATGCATGTGCTCAGGCAGAACATGTTGCACAAAGAGACCTCCACCCCAAACTCGAACCCGAGATCGCATCGATGTCACGCAAACAGGTTCGATAACATGGTTTAACAAAACCAGCTAGATCTAGGCTAGATCTCGGCTAGATGTTCTTGCCGCTGAAGCATGGCGATTGCGCAGACCGCGGGCCGCTGGTGGCTGCTTGTCTGGACGTTGCTGGCGTTCCATCCCGCATGGCCGGGAACGCTGTTTGCTGGTGTGCCGGCAAAAGGCTACAGCCGGAAGGTCAGGGTTTCTAGGTCCAGCTTTGCAGATGACTTGCGCCGCTCTGTGCGGGACTTCTTGGGCATTTCGGTTGTTCTGCAGGAACAAGAAAAGATGCGTAAAGATGTCAAACTTGTCAGACAAGAACAAGAAAAGATGCGTAAAGAACAAGAAAAGATGCGCAAAGATGTCAAAGGCGACATCGCCAAGTTGCGATCCCTTTTGGGTCCAATTCTAGAAGTACTGCTGTACAACCGAGTGGGATCAGTTCTGGGCGATATCTTTCCGCAACTGCAGAATGTGAAGATCGATTTCTACAAGGTGGGCAGACAGGATAACTCGTTTCTCAGTCTTTGTTGCCGCTTCTTTGGTGCAGGTTTTGTCCTGCACCCCATCCCGGTGTTGAAATGGACCAGAAAGCGCAGCATTGTCTTTCAACATCTTGCGAGCCAGGATGTCGAGGTCAATTTGGCCACCTTGCCGCTGATGGGGTGTGAGCTTGTTCATGGCGAGGTAAAGTTGCAAGTTGGATGGGGGACTTTCACAAAAGGCATCCAGCAGGCAGCACAGATTGCGCTGGCCTTGAGGCTTTGTGGCTGGCAGAAGCCGGCCACCGCGTTTGTTGCATACTTGGAGCTTCAATCCGCTGTAGCCGCTGCCATCCCCTCCAATCTTCGCTCCAAGCAGCTTCCTGCCGGCCTGCTGGCCGATCACTTGGACACAGTCAGTGGGAACCGAACGGAAGTCAAAGCCAACGCTTCAACTTTCGAAGCCACCATCGACAATGTCACACTGTCCACAGCCAAGATCCACGGGATCCACGCTGCAGCGTTGGCTTTGCGCCTGCTGGCAAGGCACAACATCAGCATCTTTCTCAAAGATGTCGGTGTGCAGGGCTGATGTGTTGCGATGGGCTATGCCTCAACAACTGGTTGAGGAGAGGGGCAGTCAATATCCGGAAAATTGAAGGGTGCTACTGCAAGCTGGTAGACTTCGAGCCGAGTTTGCTGTCGGTTCCTCTGCCTATACCATACCACCCTTAGTGAGCATACCCCTAAACCCTAAACCCTATCGAATAGATCCCATCAAGGGCTGGAAAAGGTCAGTCATTTTCAGCAGCCCCTTCGTTTGGGTTTAGGGTGATTGGGCTTTGAACCATGCAGGATTTCCGGGTTTGGGCTCATGGTGTTTGGATTTCCTAGAAGAGCTTAGGAGAGAACACTGAGAGTCACTATGGCCGGTGCGGAAGCTTTATGATGTCAGCGTGGGGGCTTGTGGTGGTTAAGTTGATCTCCCATCTCACGATTTAGGACGTAAGTTGTGGAGTGTAGGTCTCAGCGTGGTCGAAGCTTACATGTCGACGCAGGGTGTGGTATTCAGGGCTGCTCTGGCACAGCTTGTCTTCGACGACAGCTACTTGTGGATCGTGTTTGCTGTCCGTGGGCTTGATGCAACCTGACATGGGGTTCTATTGGGGGCTAGTCACCATCTAGCTTCCTCCTGCTGTCGTGACTCCGACCCATAGAAGAGAGAGTCCTGAACCCTGGAACCCCAAGCCGCTTTGTGAGCCTGAACCCTCAATCCAAAACCTTCGAAACCTAAGCACTATAGTATAGACCCTAAACCCTAAACCGGGTCACCATAGTTGAAACCCTAGACCCTAAACCTAAGCACTATACTTGAAACTGTAAACTTGAACCCTGAAGCGAAGCATCCTGGAGGATTCGAGAACCGGGTCCCCAACTGAACCCCGAAAGCGGGTTTAGGGTCTAGGGTTTAGGGTTTAGGGTTTAGGGTCTAGGGTGGGTAACAGTATGCGCGCGGTGGGTGCGCCTTTTACTTTAGGAATAGGGGGCGCACCCACTAATCGCGCGCTTGCGTCAGCATGTAGTCCCGCCCCAACCACCCCAACTATTCTCAATTAGGGTTTAGGGTTCACCCCCCAAACCCCCCTCAAGGGGGGCTTTCTCGCTCTCTGCTTCCTTTCTCGGTTTTCACATCATCGTATTTCACCACAAACCACAGCTGGAATGGATTGGTGTCGGGTTGTGGGTCCTCGCGGCCTGTGCCGGCCGCTCGACGAGAAGAGGGTTTCCAACAAACACTTTGCACCTCGCACCCTGTCAGGGCTGCTCGCAGGAGCCTTGAAGGTGCTGACCTGCTCAAAAAGCTTTCAAAGCTTGGGAAGCCTTTGGGGAGATTTCTGCAGAGGCCCTGGCGGCTTCTGAAAGGCCCGAAAGCCCTATCCTGAACCTGGAACGTGGACCAACCTGTTGCAGGAGGCCCTGAAAGGCCCTGGGAGGTGGGAGGCGCGGCAGGGCAGGGCAGGGCAGGGCAGGGCAGGGTAGGGCAGGGCCAGGGCAGGGAGGACCCGAAAAGGGGCTGCCCCCTAGTCGGCCAGCCTGGGGCCCCCCAAAAAAGGCTGAGGTTCTCAACGGAGGGTTTGTTGTTTATTGCCTGACGGCAAAGAAGTCATTCGCGTGGCGGCGTCACTACAGTCCTCGTATACCGGGAGGCTTTACCCTCCCTCACCGTTCTGACGGGACGCTCGGTCGGGGACCTCGGTCGGAGCCTCCAGCGCCCATGCAAATGGTCAGCGGCGCTCTCGGCAGTTTAGGGTCAGGGTTGAGGGTTCAGGGTTTAGGGTCCCTTTCAAGTTCTTTTAAACCCTCAAGCCCCAAGCCCTAAAACCCGAAGGTCGCAACGCCCAACCCTCCCTTGCGCCCGAAGCTGACAAGGAAGAAGGACAAGATGGAACGCGAAGTCGCTACCTTCGGCCGGCTGAAGGATCAGGTCCGGAGAAGGGCTTTCGGGCATAGGGTTGACGTATTTCGGGGCTTAGGGTTTAGGAACCTAGGATTTGGAGGTTTCGGCCTTAAAGGAGTCTAGCGATAGGTTAAGGGCAGGATCGAGAGTTTAGCATCTGTTTTGGCATGGCGGAGATAAGGGCGACGCATGGGAGGCTTGAGTTTAAGGGTAGAGGGCGCCTACTCGTTCCCGTTTGGTGTTTGCGGTTATGCCATGGTTGAGGTCGGAGTTTGTTATAGAGCCTTGGCTCAAACGGCTAAAAAGCCTTCGGAGTTCAAGGAATTGTCATATCACAACATGACTTGGGCTAACTTAAGGTCGGCTTCCGATGTGTTGATTCATCTACAATAATTGACTCGAGAACCACAAGCATTGCTCGGCTTCAGGCAGACAGACAGTCGAAGAACTCACACTCTCGGGGTCAGGTCGTTGACTTCGACGCTTGTAAGTCCAACCTTCACTGCTCGCAGGGCTTCGGTGGTTGCGCAATGAAACTCTTTGCTACTCCGCAAACGCCTTCCCTTGTGATTTGCTTGCATGCATGTGCCTTCCCTGTTAACGATGTCCCCGTATCGTCCCGATTTGACTGTACGATCACATGCCCAAAGCCCCCTACAATACATACCCCCTTAAAACTATGTGAAGCAACTACAAAACCTCAAAACCCCCGCCCCCGTCTCAGCAAAGAAACTGTCACCCGTATTCGTAGAGTTAAGACCCCTATTTTATAAAGTATGTTTCGCGGAAGAAGCAATCTTCTCAGGTGGAGCAGAACACGCAGAAGCGGTTCGAAGACAACTTAGGCTGCTGGGTTTCGGACTCTGATCAGTAAAGGGTGCTATGAAGCAGGGTAGGGATCTGACTACTTTAGTGGTGCTCTGAATTTATACAGGACGTACTGGAAAAGTTTTTGGTGTGTGTCGTCGAGCCTGTTTGAAGTGTGTATATATATACACACACCTAATCCCTAAACCCTAAACCCTAAACCCTTAAACCCTATACACACGACAAGGGATGCTTTTGCGACTTGACCAGCGACTGTAGGGCTTGACCAGAGGACCAGCCAAGGTAACGGGTCGTCCTGGCGGCTCTGCAGGCTGCAGTAGATGACCTTAGAAACCTAAACCCTAAGGGTTTAGGGGTTTAGGGAACCTTAAAAGGGGCACCCACCCTGTAATAGTGACGATAAGGATTATATTAGGGCCCTATTATATTTCTGTTATGCCACTATTACAGGGTGGGGGCCCGTTCTAACCTAAACCCGAAAGGTTTAGTTTCCGGTGGTTTGCGTTAGGGCTTCGAGCCTGCAGGCTGTGCGGGGTTCTAGCCTCGCGATGTCTTGTCACATTTCACGTTTTGCAGGGTGCCCATACTTGGAGGTTCATGGGTAGTTAAAAGTGAGGTTATCAACAAGATAAGTATAGTTGTAACCCAAATTGTGGGACTTATAACCCTACTTATAACTACCCATGAACCTCCAAGTAGGGGGTTTCATGGCTTTTTGTGCAAAGCCTGGGCTCCGGGGGGAGCCGAACTCTTGCAGTTCTTTCTAGCCAAAAGCCCCAAAGTAGTTCCGGCTCATATGGGTGGTTGTCAAAATTGTGGTCCCGTCTTGGGTACCTTAAATATTAGGTGCCGTACTATATTAGGGACCAAAAACGGACCATGATTTTGACAACCATGCATATAGAATCCTATAAGGTAATCCCAAGAAGGAACTATTATGGGGCCTCTGGGTAGTTTGGGGCTTTCGGAAGCCAGGAGACCAGTTCTACGTGGACTTCGACGAGCTCAAAGTCCATCGAAAAGCGTAGGGGGACCAAGACTTCCAGGGATCATTGCTCATACCTTGAGCTATGGTTTTGGAGGTTTTTTTTGTAAACACTAATGTGCGATTTCTATGAACCTATAAAAAAGTAGGTTTTGGTAGCTTACGGTAGTTTATAAGGTTTACAGGGCTTAGTTGGCTCACGGCATTGAGGATGTGTGGGGCTGGATGCACTCGGGGTCTGCTGCAAATGCAGTAGACCCCAGACAAGATATACAGACCATTCAAAACGTGAACAAGTCAATAACCCTCCAACACATCCAAAGATTCAAAACCTAACGCTTAAAATGAGCTTACAACCATTGAAGCACGCCAAGGGCCCTCACAAAAAAAAGAAGCATGCGGCATATAGGATAGTATTCCCTACACCCTCCACTCTAAGCCCTAAACCCTTGACTCAAAATCCTCAACCCTAAGCTCAAAACCCAAAACCCCCAAAACCCCCCAACATATTATGTGATGTATGCACACATGCCAAAACCCTAAACCCCTGAACCCTAAACCTTCGAGCCCTGCCTAACTTCAGAGCCACTCCAGGTCGATCTTCTACGATCCGGCCACGTGCTCGGAGTTCCTGAAAGCTCGATTTTTGTGCTCAGGGGAATTAGGGAAACTCGGTTTTGGGGCTTCTGCGAGTTTAGCATTTAGGGTTTAGGGCTGGAGTTGTTGTACTTTTCGGACATGGGGCTTGAGTTGTTTAGGTTTGGGCTCCTTGACAGTTTACATTCCGTTTTCAGTAGGAGCCAGAAAGTTGGAACATTATCCCCATGCCCTTCAGGTAAAGCATAAGGGATCCTAGCACTAATCTTCCTGATTTCTGGCTTCTACTATGAAGGTTTAGGGGGTTTCAGGCTTCAAAGGCTCAGGCCTGGATGTTTCCGTTTCTGAAAAGGGGGTGTTGGTCTTGGAGCTTTCGTTGTACCTGAAAGTCTAGAGTCTAGGGTTTAGGATTTTAGGGTTTAGGGTTTGAGGGTTTTTAGGGTTTAGGGTTTAGGGTCTACCCAAGCAGAGAGGGAGTTTGGGCAACGTGATCCTGCGGGGCTTTCGCTTGTGTTGCTTTGCAATCAGGATCAGGAAGATGACGCCGATGATGGTGCTGGGTAGTGGTGGGGTGGTGAAGGTGGTGACGACGGTAGTCTTGATGACGATGATAACTGTGACATCATGAGGTCTCTCCAACCCGCCATGACTTTGTCCCTGGCAGGTCAAAAACCCCTATGGCGCGCCGCCGCAGGGCCAAGTGCTGATGCCGCTGCCCAAGATGGAGACTTTCAAGTAGTTACGCAAGAGCCTGCGGAGGACGGTTTTCAGGAAACTTGCTTGTGGTGCTGTGCAAAGGGATTGCTGTGGGAGTTTCCGAGAATAGGGGACCCTAATATAGTGCCCTAAACAGTAGGACCCTTTGGGATTTGGGGCTCAGTCTCTGTTGCAGCTTTCCGGGCTTCGGCTGGAGAGCTTGAGCCTACAATGCGCTGCGAGCCAAGTTGGCCAAGGGAAGCATACGGGGCATCGACACCAACCCTATGAACCCTACAGTATAGGTCCCGAAATGAAACCTCAAGCGCTAACTGCAGAGCTGTGGATGGATGCAGGAAAAGACAAAGCCTTGTACTATGCCTTTCCAACCAACTTGAGCCATAAGCGCCCCTGACACCCAACCTCAGAGGAGCAAAAAACGACCGTGAATTCCTTCGATCCCTAAACCCGAACTCCTATATGCCCCAAAACCCTACTAAACCCTAACCCCAAAGAAGCAGATGATGAGGTATCGACACCCAGACGGCTCCGTCAAGCGGGAGCCTCCTCCCTTAGGGCCGGGAAGCCCAGCCTCGCCCCTGAGGGGTGATATGTTAGAAGCTCCCCCCACCCTGTAATAGTGGTATAATAGGAATATAATAGGGCCCTAATATAATAGTAATATAAGCCTTATGGTCACTATTACAGGATGGGGTCAGCTTCTAAGTGATATGGGAGTTCCGAAAAATTAGGGGTACTTGGAGGATCATGGGACTTAGTAAGTAAGGTTATATGTACCCTAATTGGAGTTATAAGTAGTTTTAAGTATAATTACCCTGATAACAACCCTAGTTACTAAGTCCCATGATCCTTTAGGTACCATGAAAGGGATCTATAAGGGTTTCCTTGAGGGTTCCTATCAACGATCTATAGGGTTTAGGGTTTAGGAGTTTCCGAAAATTATGGGTGCCTTATTTTGGGGTCCTGATTGTAATGGTCCTTCTTTAGGGTTTAGGGTATTTAAGCTTTCACGGAATAAAGGGAACCACCGTCCAGAACCGAGTGTATCTTGGGCCTTCGTGGATCCAGCTTCAAAGTGATATACTTCAAGCAAGCCCACTTTCTTAAGGAGTGTATCTGAGGCCTATGTGGAGACAGCTTTAGTTTTAAGGGCAACTCGTAAGGGAACCCGACTATAAACCCATTAATCCTGTAGTACCTTTAAAGGGACCCTCAAGCATCCTCTTAAGCGTATATATATATATACACATATACATATATTTCAAGAAGCCTATCTTCACGACTTCTTAAGGAGTGTAAAAGCAAAGTTGTGGTTTGGGTTAGCTTTACATAGGGAATTGAATACTTGCTAATGTGATGCCGTGCCCTCATAGTCGAAATATACCTACTGATATACTATAGCATGTTGCTCCAACTACCTGCTCTGAAATCTTTTGGTTGGCCTCTCCTTGGTGTAACCGATTGGAAGGAACCCCCTCTAATTATTAAGGCCCTTGTATTGTAGTGTCCCCTCGGAGCAGGCATGGTTCGGTCCGTGCCGCGATGACGGATGGCCTTGTCCCGGGCCACAGCGATATGGCAGCCCGGACGCGAAAGTCGGGGATTACGGCTGAGGGTTCACGGCTATTTTACTTCAAGCTGTACTCATACGGCTTTGTGGAAAAAAAAGTTCGTAGCGCCGTTTAGGGTCTGGATGGAGTTGCAAGGTGTTGGGATCACTATACGGTTCCCACTTAGAACTGGTAACGATAGGTGAGTCTATTCCGTTTGGGTCTCTGTATATGAGTATACCAAATTCTATCCCAAATCCGATTCCGACAGTTGAGGCTTCTATCTGACATGGGAAGTTTCGGATCTGCTGCAGGGTTTGGGGTTTCATGCTCGCGCGGGCAAGAACGTAAGGAGCAGGGGCTCTCTTATCGAAAACAACCGAGCATCTTAAACCGTTCTCTGCAGCAGAGAACCTCGCCCCCCAAACCGGCGACCTTCTCACACCCGCCAAAACCCTTAACCCAAAACCTTTCGCTAAGCCGCCCTATACTCCACAGAGCCTTTCACCCTGCACCTGCATAAATAGGACCTGAACCCTAGACTTTCAAATGCGGCTTACTACCCGAAAAGCATAAAGCCCTAAACCCTAAAACCTTGAACCCCTAAACCCCTAAACCCAAAACCTTGCTTGGATCCATAGCCCCAAAAACTCCCTAAACTTCCTTGACCCTACAGTAGAAGCCAGAAAGTTGGAATATCATTATCGTAGCCCCTTTAAGGTAAATTATAGGGGATCCTACCATTAATCCATATTCCAACTTTCTGGAGCTCCCTTTAAGCCTAAACCCTAGACCTCAAACTTTACTTGGATCCAAAGCCAGGATCTTCCTTGAACTCAACTTCCTTGACTGAAAACCCTAAACTTTCCTAAACCCTAACTACCCTTGCAACCCTAAACCCTCCTAAACCCCAAACCCTCCTAAACCCTAAACCCTAAACCCTCCTATACCCCAAACCCTAAACCCTTGCAACCCTAAACCCTTGCAGCCCTAGAGCACAAACCCACAAACTCGCAATGCAGCGCCCTTCGCTTTCCGGAGCTCCCAGGTGCTGCCGAACCTTGGGCCACCGGAGGACGAGCCCCAGGCGCTGTCCATCTACATCTATGTACATATATAATCTATCTAATCTATACATACATCTATCTATCTATATATATATATATACGCATGCACTCTCTCTCTCTCTCTCTCTCTCTCTCTCTCTCTCTCTCTCTCTCTCTCTCTATATATATATATGGGAGTTTCCGAAAATAGGGGACCCTACTGTTGTAGCCTGGATAGTAGGATCCTTACTATAAGGACCACCAAATAAGGTACCCCTATTTTTTGGAAACTCCCATATAATATACATTTATAAATATGCGTATGTGTATATATATGTATATACACATATGCACATCATCATATTACCATCCTATGACTACCTATGTATGCTATAGTACATATAATGTATAGTATATAAGTATATAGTTTAACGAATATAAGTACCCCACCCTATTGTACCATAGTATTTAGCTATATATATATATATATATATATATATATATATATATATTTATATTTATATAGCATTATCCCTTTCGGGCTTTCCTGTCCTGCTCGTGTTTGGTTGAGCGTGTAGAGTGTAGGGGGTTTTGCAAGCCCCACGCTCTGCTGGGGATGTAGATGTCTTGATAGAACTCATACATAGATGATAGATGTCTCAAGGGTGTTTCCCACAGCCCGCAACTCCGCACGCCACACCCACAAGCCGAAAGCCCTGAACTGAAGCTCGCAAAGCGGAAACCCTAAGCCCCCAAGGCCATAAAACGACAAACCCTGAAATCCTTGAAGCCGAAAGCACTCAACCAACTCCCAAACCCGCAAGCCTTTAGCCCCTTAGACAGTGGAGCCACCCCGTAAAACAGGTAGAAGCTTCGAAAACTGGAAAAACTCCGAAAGGCCTTCAAACTCCTATGAAACCGTTGAACCTTTGTAAAAAAGAGCTCCTCAGGCCCCGAAGCCCAGTTGTGAAAGGACGGCGAGTCTGGAGAGTCCGAGGACGAAGATGACGACGAGGACGAGTTTGCGGTTAAGGGCTGAATTAGAACAGGGCTCCTTCTAAGGAGTCTTGTAAAGGGATCTATAGTAGGGTCCTAACAAAGGGGCCACAGAATTTACCAATACTTTTTGGGGGGTTCTTTATTGTGGTTGTAGTATAACGGGCCCCCAAACCCTATTCTGATTATTAAGGCCCCTGTATTAAAGGCTCTAGAGATTCTGCAGTTTTACTTTTTAGGGTTCAGTGTTTAGGGTTTAGTGTTTGTTGTAGGTTGAGGGTGAATATTTAGGGCAGGGCAGGCCAGGCCAGGGCCGGACGGGCTTTGGGATTTTTCTCTTGGATCCGTTGTAGCATGTAGTAAGATTTCTGATAAAAGGGCTGTATATGGGGTTCGATAACTGTTGTCGATTTGGGGCTTTTGCACATAACCGTAATAATCTTCGGGTTGTAGGATTTGTCGGAGAGTTGGGGGGTTTAGCGCGGGCCGTTTCAGTAGTGGGCTTTCCATGAGCGGACCTTTATATATTTCTGCAACCCTCGATGTTTTGCCGACCCCTGACTAATAGACCCAACTCCGTGAAGGGCCTCTTTTGGGGGATCATCTGATGTAAAGGTGAATTCTTGATCCGGCGTCTACGTTACGTTCTACCATAACGTGCTTGGAACCTTAACCCTAAACCATTATAAACTTAAGCTCAGAAAACTTATTCAACAAAAACCAGTAAAACGTACGGCCGATACGATAGAGTCCAGGGCTCACCGACACTGCACAGTAAAACCCCGAACGGAAGTGCTTTGGGCAGGAGGATGACGACGAGCCAATGCTGCCGACGGAACTTCCGGATGGACCCCTCCAGCCTTAGGATGTTACTGTAGGGGCCTTAATAATTAGAGTAAGGTTTTGGTGGTTCCTGATTATATTTATAGAAAAATATACCCCGCAATCCCATTCGAATTATTAAGCCCCCTATGCTAGCGTGTTCAGGTTTAGAGTGATGGGTGTAGGGCTCAGGCTTAGGGGACCCCTGACTCAAAGACCCGAGACTTTCTCTCATGGTTCTGTACCTTGCAACGGGAAAAAACCGCAAAGCACCGCTGCGACAAAAGTTGGAGGAACTCCACTTCCCCCGGGGCCGCCAGTCGGCCCGGCACCCATGGAAGCGCCGCTGCCGCCAGGGCCCGGGCCCGGGGGAAGATGGAGGGCTCAGGGTCTGAGGCTTCAGGGGTCTTGAAGGGTTTAGGGGTTTAGGGTTTAGGGGTTTAGGGGTTTAGGGTTTAGGGGTTTAGGGTTTAGGGGTTTAGGGGTTTAGGGTTTCGGGGTTTAGGGGTTTAGGGTTTAGGGGTTTAGGGTCTTGAAGGGTTTAGGGTTTCGGGGTTTCTACATAATTGTTGGTCTCAATGTTCCGGATCCCAACTCCCAGTACCAAAACGCTAAGCCCTGAAACCCTAGAGCCCCAAAGCCCTGTCACCTTAAGCCCGACAACCTGGGCCCAGAACCCTACAAGGAATCTAGGGGCCTTAATATTTCGAATAGGGCTTTGGAGCCCAGTATACAACCGTTATGAACAGGAACCTCCCAACATAGTATTGTCAATTCTTTACGTACGCCCCTTTGGAGGGATTCGGGGGTTTAGGGTTCTCTGAGTTCCATGAGGTCCATACCATGAGGTCGTTGTGATGTAGGGATTCAGGGCTTAGGCCGCAACAGAAACAAAGTCCCCCCATTGTCGGAGGAGATAACGAGCTTCCGTAGTCCTAGCCCTCCGACCGCAGTTTAGCCCAAGGTCGCAGACATGGAATCGGCCTTACCGTTAAATCTCACACCCTGGGACCGTTAAATCTCACACCCTAGAACCCGAGTTCCAAAGGCATCAAGGCCGCATAAACTTCGAATCCCAAAATAGTAGGGCTCATATAAAGACCCTAATAAAGGGTTTAGGGTTTAGGGTTTAGGGTAGGCCCAAGGTTTCTTAATCAGGTTCCTACATTAGGCTTCGAATCTTGCAGGCCTCCCCCGGGACCCTCGCTGCCACCGCTGCCACCTGGAGCCCCACCCACGGGGCTGCTGCCGCCAATGCCTCCAGGTCGGCGGTTTAGGGAGTATGGGGTTTAGGGTTTAGGGGTTTAGGGTTTAGGGGTTTAGGGTTTAGGGGTTTAGGGTTTAGGGGCTCTAGGGTTTAGGGGTTTAGGGCATAGGGTTTAGGGGTTTGCGGGGTTTGGGATTTAGGGATTTGGGGGTATAGGGTTCAGAGGTTTGGGGCATCGAAAGGCTTGAATAACTGAGTTTGGACTCCGTCAGTTTTGCAGTCGTAGAGTAGTATACCTGGCAGTAGAGTAGATAACCTCCAACCGTACTACAATCCCGCCTATATAATTCCAAATTGTACCCTTTAACTTCCGCAGGATACTGGACAAGTAAGAATAGGGCTCGGACGGGTTCGGAGGAATTACTTGAAGTTCTCCAGGTTTTGGGGGGCTGTCAGTCTTGGAGCTGTGGAGTAATATAGGGCTCGGAATTAATAATTGCTACTAGTGCTCATTTGTACTTGTAGTCCCATATATATATATATATATGTAGTTTCTGCCCGCAGAACCTAGTTCTAATCACGAAGCCATACTACTTTTTTCGGGACCAGGGTTTTGGGGTGGGGCTGTGTAGGACTTACATAAGAATGAAGGTTGTGGGCTTGATGTTGCTCCGGTTTTTGGTTTTCCTGGGTTTGGAGTACCATACTTGAATACTTCTTTTTGTGCCTGTTCCTTAAAAGGAACCATTATGAAATAGAAGTCTATACTTGTTTCTCCCTGGTTACTGCAAAGTCCAGTTTTCGAGAGATGTTGAGTTAAGGGTTCATGGTCACGTTTGCCAGACGGCGCAGAAGCTGCGCCCCGAAGCCTTAAAGCTATAGAACCTAAATCAGCTTAGCTCCAAAGCCTTACCCTGTAAGGTATCTTTAAAATTTCATAGTTCAGAAAAAACTCACATTTTTTAAAGTGAAAACCTGAATCAGCTTCGCCGCAAGGACTTAAACCTATAGAAGCTAAATCAGCTTAGACCGATGGAGACCCTAAGGATTAAATTCGGAACCCTGAACCCAAAGCCCCGAAGCTCTTAACCTGAAATCATGTGCAGGGCCACCACCCGGTTGCGGCGGAGGTCCACTTCGGGAGCTTCAGAAGAGAGGGGTTTTGGGCTATGGCTGGTTAAGACTTAGCTTAGCATGAGTGGTTAGGATGTGAATTTTTGGGGCTGTTTACGTGCCGTGCCGCTAGTTGCAGCAGGATTTCAGATGTTTGGCCCCTTCTTCTAAGAAGGACGACTGAGTTTCAGACCCTGCAACTTGGCCAGAGCCTTCTCTGTAAAGGCTTCAAGCCAGGAGCCCCGGAGGTCATGTGCCCGAAGCAGTTACTTCCGCATACATCCGAAACCCTTAAATGCAGCAAAGTCTATCCTGCTGTCCCGTAGGAGAGCGAAGCTAAGTTCATCTAAGTTGATTTAGCAGAAACTGCCCAACGTTTGACTCTACTTACACGTTAGCCATAGCAAACATGTGACCACGGCAGTCTAAGCTGCAAGCTCACATACTTATGGTCTCTTTTTTCTGAGCCCTCCATGGCCCAACGTTGCCGCCGCCGACGCAATGCCGGCACCGGCGCTGCTGGATCTGCGACGCTGGCCTATTCCAAATCTTGAACCCCTCGGCCGGAAAGCCTTAAACCCCCAAAAGCAGGCATCGGGGGAGTTCTAGAGGCCTTGCAATGACTGCCCAGATCCTCCGACAAGCCAACATGTACTAGAAGCGGTACGACACCCGGGTGAAAGAGAACTGCCAACAGCATTACTATAGCATCTTGAGAAGGGTGTGCAAAAGTGCACGTCGAGGGCAAGTACACGCAGGCCTGCGCCGAATTACTTACCTTTTGTGCACGGGAACATAAGCTTGGACATGCACCTGCTCACCCTAGGGGTCCATGTACCATTATAGTAGATATTTGGGCCCCGAAAGAATATACTATACCATTACTTGGACACTTTGGCTCATGTGCACAGAAAGAGGGACAGATGCAAGCTCAGGAGGCCTGTGCCTACACAAAAGGGTGCATGATGCAGGGTTTACGGTTTAGGGTTTAGGGTGCCTGCACAAAAGGGTGCAGGATGCAATCATACACTTAGTTAATCAGTTCCATTGAACAGAAACTTTGTTTGAAACATGCGCTGTATACATGTTTGCATGCGCACGCCCACCGCTGCACCCACACGCGGAAATTGAAGCCTGAAAGCCTAAATATTGAAATGTAAAGCTCTAGCTCGAAGCTCTAAATCCTCAAACCTTTTGCCTTGAGCCCCCAGCTGCGAGAGAGCTGAGGACACTGGCGCAAGGCCCGATCTGTGAGTCTTACTGCAGGTCCTCGAAGGCTACACTGAGTGCAGAGTAGACGGAAACTGACACTCATAAAGATCATCTATGCTGGTGTGTATGTTGTGCGTATATACACATATATCAGATTTCTGGGGTTCCAGGCGGTGCATATGTAATTCGAGGCCAGTCATGTCGAACGCAGGTGCATCTAGGAAGGGCCGCTGCCTGGTGCAGCACTGTAACCACATCCCAAGTCCCAGGAAGCTCGAAGTCTAGGGTTTAGGGTTTGGGGTTTTAGGGTTTTTAGGGTTTTTAGGGTTTAGGGTTTAGGGAGTCCCAACACTCTTCAGCCAGCCCCGAAACCCTGGTACGGGGTGCTCAAGGATTTGGAGCTTTCCCTCAAGGACAGCTTATGAAATCGACAGGGACAGGGCCAAACCCGTCTGTAGAAAGCACAGTAGCTGGTTGATTGTGGGTCCTCATCGTGAATTTGCTGCGTGTTCTCATCAGTCTTTGAAAACCTAAAGCCCCCTCCCCAAATTAACCAAACCTATACCCTCATGAGCCACAACCTTGTCTGTTGCAGGCCTGGCTACGGATCTCGGTCGGGCGCAACAACTTCATCACAGAGGCAGAGCTTCGAAGGAAAGATGTAGGATTTGCAGGGTTCGGGGGTTTGGGGAGGGAGGAGAGCAGGTTCCATGGAGGATTGCAGAACTTCATCCTTGAGGCTCGACATCGAATTGGGGTGGGGAAAGCTTGCGGAAATCCCTATTGTCCGAGAGAGCTACATGGAAGGACTCGATCGTGAAAAGGGCGGCTTATACTTGTTGGAATCCTTCTCCCTGCTTGTTGACAAGGCGTATGAGTTTGTCTGTGTGTGTACGCTGTTGTTTTTGGTTGTGTGTAGATATGTAAGTCACAAAGATGTTCGTTCGCCTTGTGGGGCTTTTCACTGACTGTGTCCCTGTATCAAGCAGTCAGACCAGCGACGAAGCTGCACAGCTTCTTTTAATTAGACGAGCCGGCCCAGGACCCAAAACAAGCGAACGGGTGAGACTAGATGTCTTGCAGGTATGCCGATGTCTAACAACACTGCTCATCTCCAGTGGCTACCGCAGGACGCTGCGCCTGGGCGGCAAGCTTAGAAAATCATGAGATGCCGATACAGTTCGGGTTCCGAAGCTCCACTACAAAGGGCTGGAAGACCCCAAAGACGTCCCGGAATCCTTAACAATCTTGAGGCCCGCATTAGGAGGCCGCAAGAGTCCAAAAAAGTTCAACGATCAAACCGAGGCCCCACCCTGATGAAATCTCTCGCATTCCCTGGTGATAACCACGTTACAGTGTACCGTATGTCCTAGGGCCTGTGTTTGACTACAGTTGCCCACATACTAAGTCCTGAACCCTAGCATCCTCTAGGTTGTCTTTTAGGGTTTAGAGTTTTAGGGTTGAGGGTTTAGGGTTTAGGGTTGAGGGTTTAGGGTCCTTCCAAGGCTGTGTTGCACGAGCCTGGCGGGCATCGCATTGGGAGTCTATCTGCTCCTCGGACGGATTCAGGGCTCTGTTAAGATTTACCCCTAACCCTAAACCCTATTTGGCTTGCTTCTACTGGTTTGCGTTTGTGGGTGTAGGGAACGATAAATCGGAATGAGAGCTATGAGCTTTTCCAACGGATCAATAACTGAAACATGGGGTCCTATAATTGTGCCATACCCCCACGTCTGTGACACCAAGGATAGTCCGCAGAGCCTCCGTGCCAGACATTGGACAGGATACGACTCTTTCTGTAGTCAGATGTTGCTAAAGGCTTTCTTTTGAGGTCGCTGGGGGTGTTCATGATATTTTTATAGGCTTTCTTTTGAGGGCGTTGGGAGGTTTCGTATCGGATCTTCTCCAGCTTCATAAAACCATACCGTACCCTAGCTTCCCAAGCCCCATGCTCCAATCCCCCGATCCGCAATAACTTGCCTTTCATGAGACGACCCGATAGCACAGGGTGTTCCTTTGCGCAATGCAGGGTCATCTGGAGTTGTTCTTGAAGTGTTGGTCCGTGGAGATTCTGCCTGGAGTGTCGCTACAGTCCACTGAGGTTTCCACAGGAAGGTTGAACGGTTATCAGATGAGGATCATTCGAAACCCTAAACCCTAAACTCTAGCTTTGCCGTCCTCTGCCGCACTCGCAGGAGCACCACTGTCGGAAAGAGCTCTGGAGCTGTGCAGACGCTCGCTTAGGACATGGCAGAGGGTTGGGCCCGGTTGAAGCTTTAGGGTTTCACTTCCGGTACAAGGGATCTGTCTATAGGGCTCTGTGAGAGTCCTATCAGGGTGCTATAAATGCTGGCGCAAACCCAGGTGTCTCAAGATTCTGCTGGGTCTGGGCCCAGAGCCTCCAAAAACACTTAATTAAGGAATATACCTTAAAACCATATTAGGGATCCTACTATAATTTAAGGTACATTCCTTAATCAAGGGGCTTTGGAGGCTCTGGGGGTTGCAGGCCTTCAGAAATGCAAAGCTTGAGGGTTGTGCCTTCCGCAGCGGCCTAGTACTGGCCTCTGGCAACTATTACAGGAGCCTAGAAATCATTACCAATACTATGGTGGGGTTCCTTATACAATAACTATAGAACTATAGTATGGAATAGTTCTAACTATAAAGGCTTCTACAGCAGAGCTCTCATCCGTAAGGAACTGCGCGGTGGAGGAGGGCAGCCATGTTGGGACAGCCCAGACCCAGTCTCCTGCCACTCGGCCAGGTTTACAGTGTTTAGAGTTCGAGGTAGGTTGAGGGTTTGCGTAAAGGATCATGGACTTAGTAACTAGGCTTGTTATTAGGGTAATGATACTTATAACCACTTATATCCCCAATTAGGGTACGTATATCCTTACTTACTAAGTCCCATGATCCTCCAAGTAGAGCTTGGGGTTTAGGTCCAGGCTGTAGAGCTCATGAGGGAGTGAGGGTTTTCAAGCGGGCCGGGGTGCAAGCCGGTATAGATCATGTTCGGGGCTTGGGTGATATTCCTATATGGGTGGCTGTCAAAATTATGATCCCTTTTTGGGTACCCTAAATATTATTGGGTGCCGTATTATCCTAGGGACCGAAAAAGGGACCATAATTCAGACAACCACCCATATGTATACTTGCGTGTTCTACGGGGACGGTGAGGGATATGATTATAATTACCACTCTTCAGACCCAGTTCATTAAGTGGGGAGATCCAGGCAGGAGTTTTCAGTCTCGAAAAAGGTTTCACAAACGGGTCCAGCATAGTATGCAGGGGCGACTCTCTAAGCGTCAACAGTTGGCCCTCATTTAAAGTCATAGAACCCTTTTGTCCAAAAAATCCAAAACCTGCGACATGCGACCCCTTAAATGCTTAGAGCACCCTAAAGCAAACCCTTGATTATGGTAACCCTGTTATCGGCCCTGAGCTGCATCCTTTCCCACCCCAGGTCGCACCGGAGGCGGCAATTGGCTGGGCCCAGAGGCACCGGTGGTTTTGGGGTCTTAGAGAACTTGACGGAGGAGGGACCCTGCCATTAGGGCGTCGGTTGAAGGTTGAGTTGGGGGGGGGGTTGGGCTTGGGTTTGGATGTGTGCCGTGGGTTTAGGGTTAAGTTTGGAGGTCAGGATAGGGGTTTGGGGTTTGGGTGCATGGTCGAGCAAGGGTTCAGGAGCTGGTTTCGGGAGCACATAGGGTCTGTGTCTTGGATACAGGCTGCATTGGCTTAGGGGCTTAGTTTGGGTTTGCTAAGAAGAGTTCACTATTGTGTGTGTGATATCCTGTGGTC